GCGTGCCCGCGCTGCACGTGCACGCTGCGCGCTCGACTCGGCTTCACTGCACAGCCTCCGCCTCGGGTCACCGCCATTCTCCTGCTCACGCTCCACAGTAGCTGAGACTACAGCGCCTACACACGCTCCGGCTAGTTTTTTGTATTTTTAGTAGGACGGGTTTCACCTATGTTAGCCACGATAGTCTCGATCTCCTGACTCGTGATCACCCACCTCGGGCCTCCAATAGTGCTGGGATTACAGGCTTGAGCCACCGCGCCCGGCCTATTATTATGTATTTCTTGAGACACCACGTTCGCTCTGCTCTCGACCAGGCTGCGAGTGAAAGTGGCGCGTTCTCGGCTGACTGCATACTCCTGGCTCCGGGTTCTGAAGCAATTTCTCCTGCCTCAGCCTCCCGAGTACTGGCTCACAGGGCACCATCACCATGGTCCGGCTGATTTTTGTATTTTTCTAGTAGAGATGGGGTTTCAACCCTGTGGGGCCAGGCTTGGTCTCGAAACTCCTTACCTCATGTAATCACCCACCTCGGCCTCCCCAGTGCTTGGGGATTACAGGAATGAGCCACCGAGCCCGGCCCTAAAAGTTATTTAAATTTTTATTTATTTATTTTTTTTTTTTTTGAGACGGAAGTCTCGCTGTCGCCCAGGCTGGAGTGCAGTGGCCAGATCTCAGCTCACTGCAACGCTCGCCGCACCATAAAACACATGCCAAAACGACAAACTGGGACCAACAAAAAAAAATCCCCGGAAAAAAAACTAATTTTTGAATAAAGTGAGACGGGGTTTCGCCGTGTTAGCCAAGGATGGTCTCGATCTCTGACTGTGTCCCCGTCTCGCTCCCAAAAGTCTGCGGATTTACAGGCATTGAGCACCGCGCCCGCCTACAAAGTTATTATTAAAAGAAACATCCTTAATAATGGTCTTTTTGAATGTGATAATTGGAGAGTTGGGAATTGGAGCCAATTATTTTACCTCCTGTTCAGATTATCCTTTCTTTTTTTTTTTTTTTTTTTGAGACCGAGTCTGGCCTGTGCCCAGCTGGAGTGGCAGTGACGCTATCTCAGCTCACTGCAAAGCTCAGCTCGGTTCACGCCATTCTCCCCTGCCTCAGCCTACCGAGTACTGGGACTACAGGCGCCGCCACGACGCCCGGCTAATTTTGTATTTTTTAGTAAGAGATGGGGCGTTTACCTTGTTAGCAGGATGGTCTCGATCTCCTGACGCTCATGATCCGCCCGATCTCGGCCTCCAAGTGCTGGATTACAGGCTTTGAGCACCGGCGCCCGGCCGTCAGTTATCTTTCTTATACTTCTTGGTTCTTCCCTTATATATCATTTATATAACAAGATCTTCTTTTTTTTTTTTTCTTTTTTTTTGAACGGAGTCTCACTCTGTCGCCCAGTCTGGGTGCGCAGTCGGCCGGATCGTCAGCTCACTGTAAGCCGCCTCCCAAGGTTCCGCCATTCTCCTGCTCAGTCCTCCCGAAGTAGCTGGACTACAGCCCCGCCACCTCGCACGGCTAGGTTTTTTTGTAATTTTTTAGTAACAGACGGGGTTTCACCGTGTTAGCCAG